TTTTTCTTCTTCTGCTTGCTTTCTTTTTTCTTTCTCAGCAGGTGATCCAGGTGATCGATAGATGGATTTTTTTGTCTGCTTATTTAGTTGGTTTTTGTTTTTTGCCCTCTATCCCCGCCCCTCTTCTCCGCTGTTTTTCTTTCCCCAGTCAAGTCTGTCCCGTATTTAACAGGTGAAAATAAAATAAACAATAAAAGGTGAATCAAATAGATTACGGCGAGGCTGGGATGGTCCATCTGCTAACGTAGATCCGTTGGGCATCTTTCCTCGTCTTTAGACAATAATTCTGATGGAAAAAGAACCAAACGGGACAGGCGGGAAAGAAACAAACAAACAAAAGATGACGATGCAGTGCTCTGATTGGTCAGGTGTTTACTTGTGTAAAACGCTGAAACAACCACGTGTGATCAACCAAAGTAACGTGAACACGTTAAAGCTTCGTGCTGTTCCTCAGGTACGACACCTGGACTCACCTGAGTGTTGGGAACATGGTTAGTGACGGCAGTCTCGCACGCTCCCGATATTCCCACGCTCCGTGCCGTGTTAGCTCCTGATTGGATGAATCAGTGACTCCTACTGGCGACTGATTTACAGGTGTTCAGTCAGCTGATGCCTCCCTGCAGTCTAACCTGACCTCTCTCGCTCTCTCTGTCAGCTGGTGCGCTTCGTGTTCAGGCAGACCTTCGAGGTGCTGAGGAGGCGGAGCTGGGACAGCAGGTAAGGAGTGGACACAGGTTTGTTCCCCGGTCATTTGCTGTGGCTCTGCAGGCTGTGACTGTTTCCTGTCTCCTCAGCGCCGTGTCTCAGTTCCTGGAACTGCTGACGGCTCAGCTGCTGCAGAGCGACGCCGCGGCGCCGAGCGGCCTGCAGCTCCACGTCCTCGACCTTTACCTGACTGAGCTGGCGGTCATGGGAGCGGCAGAGGTAACACTCAGGTCACAACGTGACATCACTCACCGTACTGTGAAATCAAAGAAACGACCTCTGACCTCGCCTGTGAGCTGCTGGTTGTAATAGCACCGTGGACCACAGAGGGGTGCAGTGAGTCGGCAACAGCGGGAATAACCTCTGCTTCCTGTCCGCAGCTCACCGCCGATCAGAACCTGACCCTCATCGAGCCGTTCTGCAGAACCGCAGCGAGAACCAAAGAGTGAGTCTGTGAGCCAATCAGCTCGCTTCTGTGAACAGCTCCCTTTAAAGCAGGAAGCTGATGGATCTGCTGTCTGTAACTCTGCTGGTGCCCCTCCCCCCTCTGTTCCCCCCGCAGTCGGACTCTGCTCAGCGGGATCTGCAGCAGCGTCTTCAGCACCATCATCAATCAGGCTCCCTTCGCCATCGATGACCTGATGAAGGAGGTGAGGGCGTCTGAGGACTCGGACTCGGGACAGGCGTCTGAAGGGGACGAGGAGGAGGAAGGAGATGAAAAGTCGATGAAGATGGAAGCAGGGAGGAAGCAGCTTAATGGTAAGTGAGCGGAGGAGAAACAGGAAGTGCAGACGTGCGTTTGGTGCTGGTCTTTGTTAAGCAGGTGACGGGTGTGCTTACCTGTGTCCGTGACTCCGCCCTCGCTGCTCTCAGGCAGTGATCCCTGGTAACTCTGCTCCGCGGTACCTTCATGATTTCTGACGTGCCGCTCTTCGGCGTCAGCTGATTGAAGGCAGCGCGAGACTTTCTTCCGATTTTATAGAAACGTGTTAAAATAACGTAAACGAAGCCCGAGGCAGTGACGCCGTCTCCACACGAGGAGGCGGTCGAACGAGGGCGCCGCTGCACGAGAACACGTTACCTGTGATAAGGAACGTGGCGAGGAGGAGGCTGCGGTCTCTGTCTGAGCTCAACTCTTCTAAAGATGGTCCTTTTTATTCTTCCAGGAAACAAAACCAACGAGGAAGCTGATGATGACGATGATGAGTTCCTTCACTTGGAGAACCTGGACTCGGACTCACTGCGTGATGAAGACGTTGGGCCGGTGCTGCAGGTGAAGGCCGGCGCTGGTTTTGCAGGAACTTTAAAACCTGAAAGTATTGACATGTGATGTTAGCGGCACATGAGTCTGATTAGCTGAGATTTTACTTCCTGTCTGACCCCCCCCCTCCCCGGAGTAGTTCGATTACTCTGCACTGGCGGACAAACTGTTGGAGGCTTCCGGTCGGAGCGGCGTGCCAGCAGCCAACAGAGAGCGACTCTACAAGATCATAAAGACGTGAGTAGCGCCTCCACCGGCTCCGTCGGTTGTTCTGGGCGGAGCCTGCAGGGTTGAATGTTTGTAGAAAGCTGCAGGCTTTCTTCTTCGTTGGTGTCCTCTGGTTAGTCTCACAGTAACTGTGTTCTTCTTCTCTGCCTGCTTTGGTGGTGCTGACCCTCAGACTGCGGGACCTGAGTGAAGGTACGAACCTCCATCACTGCTCCTCCACCTCTCTTCACACGTCCAAACACACAGTTAGATTCTGACCTTTGACCCCATCTGCTCCTCCTGTCAGGCGTCTTTCCTCAGGACGAGTACCCGGAGGAGGTCTCCACGGACGAGGACGACGACATGTTCGGCAGCAGGAAGAGGATGAAAAAGAGAAGACGTCACCTGGAGGAGGAGGAGCCGGCAGCAAAGAAAGGTGAGAGCAGGAAGTGTGGCTTCCAGCAGGGGGCGCCGGTGCTGGTGAAGGAAGCATTGATGACCCGGCTTTTCACTCATTATCATCACGGTGCTGACGATTTACAAGGAAGTGATGCAATGTTTTGTTTATGTACATCCTGCAAGTACTGTGTTGCAGTATTACCTGCTCACCTGTCCTCAGGTGAGCAGCCGCAGAGTCAGAGCTCGTTTAGACTGCACCAGTAAAACCAGCTGAGATTTAAAAACACGTGAAAACTGTTTGATTTTTGCTTCGGTTTGATGGAGGATTTCTTTATAGAACAGAGGACGAGCTGCACCTGTGAGGCCGAGGTCAGCTGACCACCTGCAGCACAGGTGGTCGCATGTTTCCTGCCGCTGCTTCAGCTGAGCAGGCAGGTTTCAGTCGCTTCACTTCAGGTTTCACACAAACGTCCACCGGGCTGGCTCTGGTCCCCGGACCACATGTTGGACACCTGTGTATGACGGTCCCTCAGAGGCGGAGTTTGATCTAAGAGCAGAGATGATTTCAGTGCTGAACCTGAGCCAACGAGCCAATCAGGGGACAGTAAAATAAATGTTCCTGTCCAGGGATGGGTATCGTTTAGGTTTTATCCGATACCGGTGCCAAACCGGTACTTTTGAAACGGTGCCGGTGCTTAAACGGTGCTCAAAGAATGGAGAACAC